CCCAATGTGCGGCTCGATCCCAGGACCCTGGGATCAACACCTGAGCCGAAGCAGATGCTTAATGACTGAGCCACCCACGCGCCCCATGGTGTCTGGTTTAAGTATTAATTTTCTTTGATTCCTAGTAGGGCCAAACACCTCTCATGTTTATAGCCATTTGTATTACTCTGTGTATTGGCTTCTCTGTTCTTAGAATTTTTATTGATTTATTTTTTTAAAGATTTTATTTATTTATTTTTGCGAGAGAGAGAGCGAGCGAGCGAGAAAGCACAAGAGGGATGAGGGGCAGAGGGATAAGCACACTCCCTGCTGAGCAGGGATCCCAAGGTGAAGCTCGGTCCTGGGACTCCAGGATCATGAACTCAGGCAAAGGCAGACACTTAACCAACCGAGCCACCCAGGCACCCGTTTTTAGCCTTTTTAGGTAGGCACATTTTTATATATTCATGTGTTAATACTTTGTTACATAACTTGCAAATATTTTCTTCCATTCTCATGCTTGTGTTTTAACTTAGCTTACCATGCCTTCTATCATTTCCTAAGCTTTTCATTTTTTTGAAGTAAATCCAATGTTTTTAGGGCTTTTGTTTCTTACTTAGGAATACTTTCCTTCAAACCAAAGTCAGTACTTTTTCTTAATACTATTCTCATTTTGGGGCACCTGGGTGGCTCAGTAGATTAAGGATCTGCCTTCCGCTCAGGTCATGATTTCCAGGTCCTGGGATGGAGCCCCAGGTCAGGCTTCCTGCTCAGCAGAGAGTACGCTTTTCCCTCTCTTCCCCTCTGTCCCTCCCTACTGCTCATTCTCTCTCTCAAATAAATAAATAAAATCTTCAAAAAAAAAATACTATTGTCATTTTGGTTTTTGCAATAAGATCTTTAATCTACCTAGAAATTATTATTATTTTTCTAAAGATTATTTATTTTAGGGAGAGAGAGTGCATGCGCAAAGGGAGAGGGGGCAGAGGGCAAGATTCTCAAGCACTGAGCGCACAGCCCAATGCAGGGCTCATCTAAGGACCCTGAGATCATGACCTGAGCCAAAATCAAGTCAGAGGCTTAACTAACTGAGCCACCTAGGCGCCCCTAGAAATTATTTTTGTGCATAGTATAAAGATGCAACCTTATGTTTTTCCATATGGATATCCAATTGTGCAAATACCATTTATTAATAGTCTCCTCTTTCCCCAGTGATGTAAAATACTATTTCCATTATACAGAAAATTGCCATTTACACATACTGATCTATTTCTGTGCTGTCTTACTGAATCCTTCCTTTTGTCTGTTACTGTGTCAATAGTACACAGCTTGTAATATTTATAGTTTTACATTATGTTCCAATACATAGATAGCAAGTCTCTCTTCATTATTCTTTTACAAAATTTTCTTGCTCATATCTGTGAATTTTCTCTTCCAAATAAACTTCATTTTTATTGTGAATACATTTCTTTAATTTAAAATTGTTTCAAGAAGAGTATTTGTTTTTGAAAAATTCTAGTTTGAATTACTTGCCAAAAAGGAAATGTAATTTTTTTTTTAAAGATTTCATCCATTTATTTGAAAGAGAGATAGTGTAAGAGAGAGAGCATGAGTGGGGGGAGGGGCAGAGGGAGAAGCAGACTCTTCATTGAACAGGGAGCCTGACGCAGGGCTTGATCCCAGGACCCTAAAATCATGACCTGAGCTGAAGGCAGACGCTTAACGGACTGAACCACCCAGGTGCCCCAGGAAATGTAATTTGAAATTATGATCCTTGGTAGCTGAAGGAAATACCATGGATGTTAATCACTTTGAACACACAAATGTGGTTGAAATGTGCGATCACACTTTACATACTTAATGATATTAAAAAGAATAAAGATCTTTTTTTCTTGTAAAAACAGAAAAACATCTATTTAAACTCAAAAAAGCCCAAACCTAAGATACTCACCATTCTTTCTTTCAACTAGATCACTTAAGATGTCAACACTCTTTCTTAAATCATTAACTGAGCTACAGAATGCCAGAGATTAAAATGTTTTGATCTTCCTCTACCATCATTATCATCCTTGGAGACCCCAGACAGTATCTCAACATTTGATCTTATAAAAGCTTGAAAGACTTGAATAGTGTGCTGGTTGTTGCTCCTGTGATGTAACAGTATCAACAATAATATCAAAAGTATACTAGTTCTAGGGGCACCTGGCTGACTCAGTCAGTAGAGCATTTGACTCTTGATCTTCGGGTTGTAAGTTCGAGCCCCGTGGCGGGTGTAGAGGTTATTTAAATATTAAAAAATCTTAAAAAAAAGAAAAATACTAGTTCTAACATTCTTGCAGGTCCATTAGTTAAGGTACAGCATGTTAATTTGGTAACAAAAAAGTCACAGTATCTCTTTTTACTATTCCAACACAACTTGCTAAAGTGAATGCCATTTGCAATTTAACTACTTAGTCTTAAAAAAAAAATTTGAGTTAATGTGTTAAGGTGCTATGATATTGATTATTTTTATTAATGCTCAATGTTTGTTTAATAAATATTTAAAAGCTGTAATTTGTAGTTATGCTCCTGGTACAGAACGTAGTCTGTTTCTTTTTTTTAAAGACATTAAAAAAAAAATCACAAGTAATCCTACTATCCAGAACCAATCACACTCAGCATTTTTATGTACTTTCTTCTAGTACGTACAGGTTCAAGTATATATGTGCATTCTGCTGTTACTGAAAATTGTTTTTTTTTAGCACAGTGAAATGGAGTGAGAATGAAACTGCAAACCTATCTGATACTTAATAGTTGTGGGATATTATGCAAGTTATTTCCCCCCAAAAGCTGTTTCCTTATCTGTAAAATAGGGATTATTTACCAATTTTGTATGGTTGTGGTGAGATTTAATAAGATCAGGTATGTAGGGGCGCCTGGGTGGCTCAGTCAGTTGAGCGTCTGCCTTCAGCTCGGGTCGTGATCCCGGGGTCCTGGGATCGAGCCCCACGTCCAGGCTCCCTGCTCAGCAGGACGCCTGCTTCTCCCGCTCCCACTTCCCCTGCTTGTGTTCCCTCTCTTGCTGTGTCTCTCTGTCAGATAAATAAATAAAATCTAAAAAAAAAAAAAAAGATCAGGTATGTAAAAATACTTTGCATAGTGCCTGCCATATATCAAGGGCTAAAGATAGAATTTCTATTGTTAGCATTGTTAACTTCATTTTTTTATTTAAAGTAATCTCTACACAGAATGAGGTCACAGCCCTGAGATAAAAGTTCCACACTCTTCCAAATGAGCCAGCCAGGCGCCCCTGCATCTTGTTATTTATAACTTGACATTAAATTGTATTTCCTCATGTCACTAAATATTCTCAAAACACTAATCAATTACATGATACCTCACCATAATAACTGCTCCCTCTATTACTGGATTCAGTTTCTTTCTAATTTTTCACTATTAATAGTTTTTATTTATTCCACTAAGTGCTCTACATAATTTTGTTTAATCCTCAAAGCAAACTCTCGCTTGGAGATTTCCCTCAGTTACTATGATCCAAGTGATGCAAAAAAAAAACCAAACCCTTACATTTCATGCAAGATCTAGTTGGTCTGTAGCAGTAGGGCCTCCTAGAATCATGCTGCTGGGAGAAGTTCCATCAATTTATTTTAACATTATGTTGATTTGAAAGATAGAAAAAAAAAAAGATGTATTAAAAATGACCGCTGGGGGGCGCCTGGGTGACTCAGTCGTTAAGCGTCTGCCTTCGGCTCAGGTCATGATCCCAGAGTCCTGGGATCGAGCCCCGCATCGGGCTCCCTGCTCACTGGGAAGCCTGCTTCTCCTTCTTCCACTCCCCCTGCTTGTGTTCCTGCTCTCGCTATCTCTCTCTGTCAAATAAATAAATAAAATCTTTAAAAAAAAAAAATGACAGCTGGGACGCCTGGGTGGCTCAGTCAGTTATGCGTCTGCCTTCGGCTCAGGTCATGATCCCAGGGTGCTGGGACTGAATCCCTCATCGGGCTCCTTGCTCAGTGGGGAGCCTGCTTCTCCCTCTGCCTGCCTCTGTCTCTCTGACAAATAAATAAGTAAAATCTTTGAAAAAAAAAATGACAGCTGTTTTATAAGAATATTAATATACGTAACACTACTGAACTGTACACTTAAAAATGGCTAAGATGGTATAGTTGATAATACTGTATAACTACTTGAAAGCTGCTGAGTAGATCTTAAATATTCTCACCACAAAAAAGAAATGGTAATTACATGAAGTGATGGAGGTGTTGTATAATACTATAGCGGTGATCATTCTGCAATACGTAAGTATATCAAATCAATGTGCTGTACATCTTCAACTTACTAAACTTAAATAATATTATATGTCAAGTGTATCTTCATAACGTCAAAAAATAAATGGTTAAGATAGTAAATTTTGGTGTTTTTTACAATAAACATACTATTAAATTAAAAAAAAAATTGACAACAGGACAAAAGTAGAGTTGGACTGTTGATGACTAATGTACCTAGATGCCAGGAAACAGTTTCTTGATAACAGACACAATTTATATCACTAAGCCAAGCAAAGGGAAATTTACTTCAATGTGAAAGAGAAAGCTAGGTTTAATAGAGAAAGGTTAGGGATTTTTTTTTTTTTTTTTAAGATTTTATTTATTTGACAGAGAGAGACATAGCGAGAGAGGGAACACAAGCAGGGGGAGTGGGAAAGGGAGAAGCAGGCTTCCCGCCGAGCAGGGAGCCCGATGCGGGGCTCGATCCCAGGACCCTGGGATCATGACGTGAGGCGAAGGCAGACACTTAACGACTGAGCCACCCAGGCGCCCCAAGGTTAGGGATTTTTAAGATCAGTATTTCCTGCCTTTTCTAGAATGATAGGCCTGACAAATGTGAACAAATATTTTAATTCTAAAAAGTGAAATAATATGTTTCTAACTCCAAGTGTGGCTTTCTAAAATTACAATGTAAGATTCAAATTAATCAGTTCTTAAGAGACTTACCTTGTTAGCTTCCATTGTCACTATTCGATTAAGAAATTTCATCATAATTGTTGGTGCCACAGGGTTAAAACTGTTAAAAGTTTTATAAAGAAAGATAGTGTTTAGATGATCAACTTATAAATATAACATGTATGTGAGCATTACAAGCAGAAATTTCATTCTTACCTAATGTTTGCTATAGCACACTCTTCCTGAATTTCTTTGGGAAACAGTAACCTTTGATTATTATCTCCACTGAGACTGTCAGAAATTATAAATATTAGAGGACATCGACCAGTGTGCACATATTTCCTAGAATAGAGTATAGCAATGTTGAAATATAAGCTATTGCCATTTTATTCAAAGTTTGAGAAAACTTCACTGAAACTCACCTGAGAATTTCATGTAAAGTATGAGAATTTCGATAAAACTGGTTAGGTAAATCCTATTGAAAAATGATAAATATTATTGTTTTATTATTGTATAAATTTATACAAGATTCATATTTACCATATTAGGGAAAAAACGTTACCTATTCAATGTATTGCAACTAAAACTTTTACAGAAATTAAGGAAAACGTGAAAAAGTAGATGTCCAAACAATAAAATCTATCAATGGGAAACCCAATTTTCAATCAAATTTCTTATGATTACTACTAGTCACAGTATTGTCACTAAGACATAATTTTCCGAATTATTTCTTTTGCTTTTCTATACTGAAGGCATTAAAATTTTAAATTTCATTAACCTATAGCTACTCTATTCAAGTTTACTGAAAAAGACCTGAGGTTTCTGCTATCACCGAGCTTTTACATTACATTTTATCACTATTAATACTATGGAGAGAGTTAATGGCACTATCAATAAGATATATCTTGCAATTATTTACTCAATAGTTACACCAGGATCTCAAAATTTGTCCATACTTCAACCAGAATTATCCTCTTATCAGTTCTTAGTTCATCTCCAAGCATTTGTAGTTTGTTATACTTTGTTGCTCTTAGTAGAAACTCTTTAAAAACTGCTATCTGAGACTGGTAGGGAAATACATGGAAACTGGATTCTGAAAGAAAACATATTTAACACTTTTACTTTCAACATATTATATATATATCAAAATTACACATACATATATAACACACACATACACGTTACTGAATATATTTGCATATACCTGAAGGAGCTTACAACATTGTAGATTTTTCTATTTAGGCAAAACTGTACAAATTTTTTTTTTCAAGATTTTATTTATTTACTTATTAGAGAGCGAGCAAGAGAGAAACAGCATGAGAGGGGAGAGGGTCAGAGGGAGAAGTAGGCTCCCCGCCAAGCCAGCAGCCCGATGTGGGACTCGATCCCAGGACTCCGGGATCACGACCCAAGCCGAAGGTAGTCGCTTAACCAACCGAGCCACCCAGGCGCCCAAAAACTGCACAAATTTAAAATAGGATACTCATTTCAAAAGATAAGAGTCATCATGGATCACAGTGAATTTTCTGTAACAATGAATGTTAATATGGAATTAACTGACTTTAGAACACAGCTGTCAATGTAATAGTTACACAACTGGTAAAAACATTTATATCTTTTTTTTTTTTTTAAAGACTTTATTTATTTGACAGAGAGAGACAGCAAGAGAGGGAACACAAGCAGGGGGAGTGGGAGAGGGAGAAGCAGGCTTCCCGCCAAGCAGGGAACCCGATGCAGGGCTCGATCCCAGGACCCTGGGATCAAGACCTGAGCCGAAGGCAGACGCTTAACGACTGAGCCACCCAGGCGCCTCAAACATTTATATCTTTGCCTCTACAATGAAAATACTCCAAATGAGTTGTGTTGATGATGAATCAATTAGTCAGACTTAATCCTCAAAGAATCCCATTCTCCTCTACTAGAAGCAAGCTTCCCCTCTTCTCCTGAAAATACTTTTCTGAAACTGGGAAGTATGAAAGAAAATGGTCTCATATAGTTTAATCTGATTGCTACTCTCATTTTGTGAAGCTTTTGATAGTGGGCAGATGCCAATCTAGCATAGGGGTGACAACATATATTTTCTCACAAAAACATATACCCAAAAGGATCTTAGGCATCTCAAGAATATAGATGGGGAATTCATTTCAAACCTCCTTTAAACATACATAGACCTTAGGGGCGCCTGGGTGGCTCAGTTGTTAAGCGTCTGCCTTCGGCTCAGGTCATGATCCCAGGGTCCTGGGATCGAGCCCCGCGTCGGGCTCCCTGCTCTGCGGGAAGCCTGTTTCTCCCTCTCCCACTCCCCCTGCTTGTGTTCCCTCTCTCGCTGTGTCTCTCTCTGTCAAATAAATAAATAAAATCTTAAAAAAAAAAAACAAAAAACAACATAGACTTTTCCCACTATTTCCACTACCTTCATAGCAAATCTTACCAGGATTAAGTATCTCCTTGAAATCATCTTTTTGGAAGTCTGGTAAAATTGGATTAATCCACTCTTGTACTTGAATACCATGCTCCTTTGATAGTATTTTTATAGTTGTTGTTTTTCCACATCCAGGAGGACCTGTTATTAATAAAATAGACCCACCCTAAAACCAAATACAAACATTAATCAAAAATCAAAATCACTGCTAGAATATTATGTTTGAATTTTCTTTCAAATATAAATTACTTCTATAAATATTTATTAAATATCTGGTATAAGCTGACTAAATTTTACACTGATGTTAGCTGGATTATACCATCTTTAGATAAAAGAGAATAATCTTATTTCCTAAACTTTAAGCATAACTTCTGATAGTTCTTCAATTCTTACATTATGTCCCTCCCAAGGACTACTTAGTAGTCAAATTAAAACAACTAAACTTCAGCTAGATTAAGGAGGTAATGTCTGAAACAAGTATTTTTAGAGGTTACCTGAACTCAAAATTCAATCTTAATACAGACCTCTTTGGATTATATGCTTTAATATTAAACAAGTATAATATTCTTATGGGAAGATGGTAGTTAGGATATCAGAATCTTTAAGAAATGTGTAATAAGAAACATATTTTCCAGAGACAGAACTCCAAAGAGAGACTAGAGGTGGCAGGTCACAATAATTATCTCCTCGTATAATAAATCTGATAAAAAAAGTTAAAGCTTAATAAAAAAGTTAAAGCTAAAAAAAAGTATCAGGGGAAGATGATTTCCTACATTCCCTGGTGGGCTATAATCCTTGCTCAACTGTTTACCTTTGCTCATATAAATAAGGGCCTTCTACGTGGCCCCAGAAGACAACCAGTCTCACTTTTTAAAATGTATGAGTGCATGAGTTATAGTGGTATCAGCCATGACTTTAATGATTCAATAATATATATTAAATATGGTGTCTCTGAACAAAAACAAATAGAAAACAAGGTTATATACTGATGAGTTGACGTAAATGTGACCAGAGGAAGACAGTTTTGCAGGAATCTAACCCCTTATTTCTCTTAGGAACTATGACTCATTATTTGCTTATTGTTTCTAGTAACTTTACAGGACATACCTAATGTAAATAATGAGAACTGACTACTTCCAAGCAGATTACTTTTAAAAAAAGAAAAGGAAGATCAAGCATGGGCACCCATGTATGTTTCTTATACAACAGAATCAAGTGTCTTGTTTTTTGACACAGTGAGTAGAGCTACATAGCAAAAGTTTTGCTTCCAATAAGAAAAGTGGGAGATAGTCTATCAGAACACTAAAACATGAAGACTTCTGTTAATATTCCCATCATTTACATTATAATAGTTTTCTTTTTTTTAAATTGAAGTATAAATGGCATATAGCATCCTAATAGTTTCATATGTACATATTTTTTCGATTCTATATTTTTATGTCATTAAAATATTCTAAGTCTAGTTATCATCTGTCACCATACAAAGTTACTGCAATATTATTGACCATATCCCCTATGCTGTACATTTCCATCACAGTATAACAGTTTTACCATATTTTGAAGATGTTGCCCTGAAAAATTAAAGTCAGTGTAAATTTTAAGTACTTACGATAAATTTAAGAAAAAATAATTTTAGCTTGCCCATAGAAAAATCTACAAGTTATCAAATTTTTTTTTTTGAAGATTTTATTTATTTGAGAGAGAGAGACACAGTGAGAGAGGAAACACAAGCAGGGGGAGTGGGAGAGGGAGAAGCAGGCTTCCCGCTGAGCAGGGAGCCCGATGCGGGGCTCG